AAGCAGTGCTGCCATCAATAGAAAAGAAAGCCCCTTCCCACCTAGATCCCTGCACAGAAAGTATGCAGTAAACCCAAAATTGCTTCTGTGATGCATTCACACTAACTGCAAACCCAGCCTTGCCAAGAAAGCCCTGATTAAGTGATGGAGACAAGCCAGATAGGAAATGAAGCATTTCTATGAAAATGATAGTCACTGATTCACTTCTATTGGTTGCAAAGTTGTTTGTCTAAAGATGTTTCATTCCCACCACACATTTAAAGTAAGCAGGTACACAGAAAGTTTTAGGACTTCTTTACCCTTTCTTCTCTTCCCTATTTCCTCCCCACCTTCCTCAGTTCTTAAGCTTCTCTCAGCAACTTGCAAATGGTACATCCTTCTACTGCTGTACACATCCACCAATTCCCTTTTTCCAGTAGAACTGTGGATGAGCATGAGCTGTGCGTGGAATCACAGAATGGTTTGGATTAGAAAGGATCTTAAAGATCATCATGTTGGGGTGGGCAGGGACACCTTCCACTAGCCCAGGTTGCTCAGAGCCCCATCCAACCTGGCCTGGAACACTTCCAGGGATGGGGCAGCCACAGCTTCTCTGGGCAACCTGGGCCAGGGCCTCACCACTCTCACAGGGAAGAATTTCTCCCTAATAGCCAATCTAAACCTGCTCTCTGTCAGTTTGAAACCATTCCCCCTTCTCCTGTCACTCCAGGCCCTTGGAAAAAGCCTCTTTCCGTCTTCCTTGTGGGCTCTCTTCAGGTACTGGAAGGCCCCAACTGGGTCACCCTGAAGCCTTCTCTTCTCCAGGCTGAACAATCCCAATTATCTCAGTCTTTCCTCAGAGCACAACTGCTCCATCCCTCTAATCAACTTCGTGGCCTCCTCTGGTTCAGCACTGACAGCAGAGGGAAATAGTGATTTGGACAGCCTGGCCTCAACATTTCAGAAGGGGTCGATTTTACTGCCTCTTGACTACATACTACATCTGCTACATCAATAAATTTATCATGGGGATTTTGTTTGCTTGCTTTTGAGCAAAAAAAAAATAAAAGCATTTTCTTGGGGAAGAAAAACCACCATGTACAGTCTCTAAAAATGGGCCATTTTCAGCCAATTCAACTTAATTCATAATTCATCTTAATTGATGAGACAAGGAGTCTGTATAAGCAAGTGCATATTAGTGAAAAAGTAAAACAACCACAATGAATCACTTAATACATCTTCATGTGAAGTGGGGAAAGCATTCCTTTGACAGTGACTACTTTCTGTTAGAGCAAGGCAAGCTGCCCCACAGAATGGAGCAGAGCACATCCTGCAAGCTCTGGCCCCACACCTCCCAGCAGGGGCTGCAGCTGGAGCCTTCCAGCAGCTATCACAGTGCAGTACTTTCAAGGCAAGGTCTCAGTGACCTTCAGAATCACCGAATGGAATCACAGAATCATTAAGGTTGGAAAAGACCTCCATAATCATCGAGTCCAACCTTTGACCAAACACCACCTTGTCACCCAGACCAGAGCACTGAGTGCCACGTCCACTCATTTCTTGAACACCTCCAGGGATGAGGACTCCACCATCTCCCTGGGCAGCCCCTTCCAATGCCTGACCACTCTTTCAGTAAGAAATTCTTCCTCATGTCCAACCTGAACCTCCTCTGGCACAGCTTGAGGCCATTTCCTCTTGTCCTGTCCCTTGTTCCCTGGGAGCAGAGCCCGACCCCCACCTGGCTACAACCTCCTGTCAGGGAGTTGTAGAGAGTGAGAAGGTCCCCCCTGAGCCTCCTGTTCTTCAGGCTGAACAGCACCAGCTCCTTCAGCTGCTCCTCCTATTATTTACTCTGTAGACCCTTCCCCAGCTCCATAGCTCCTCTCTGGACATGCTCCAGCACCTCAGTGTCTTTCTTGCAGTGAGGGGCCCAGAACTGGACACAGGATTTGAGGTGTGGCCTCACCAGTGCCCAACATGAGGGGACAATCCCTGCCCTGGTCCTGCTGCCACGTTATTGCTGGTCCAAGCCAGGTTCCATTGGCCTCTTGCCCCCCTGGGCACATGCTGGCTGTTCAGCCACTGGCAACCAGCACCCCCAGGAGAATGCTATGGGAGACCCATGTGAGACTTTGCTGTCACTTAAAAGAACACTCTTCACTTTTTGCCCTGCCTATACTTTTTGGTACCCGTTCCTCTCCCACTCCCCCATTTTCCACCACTGCCACTAATGTTCTGTGTAGCAACTGGATCTAAAGAATGATGAAGCTGGAAACCAGTTTTCAGCCAAGCTCAGGGGGCCAATCTGACTCACGGCACAACTTCAAGAACACCCAAGTAGACATGGGCTTGTTGGGAACATTAGCTGAGCGCAGGCAGAAGAACTGCTCCTTTTGGCAGCAGATCATAACTCAGTCAGGGTAAGCTGGCTGTGAAGCCACATTCTCAGCCAAATACTTCTTTTAACTCCTCTCCAACAGCTGGAGCCTCAAAGTAATATACACTTAGCCAAGAGGTTGCAGATCTCCCTGGACTAAGGACCATGTCTTCATGTACGTTTATACTACCCCCGAAAAAAAAGGCACCCGAGCTCAAGTGACCTTTTTGAGCCATCTCAGCTTTCAAACATTAAATTATTATAATCACTATCCTAGACCCATGCTGATCGTGCCACATCAGAATTCAGCTCTTTCTCTCGTGCAGAAAACTGGCATATGTTTTAGGAGCATGTTTCCCTCCTAAGCATACCCTGTCCCCAATAACCAAGATTTTGGTTCTTTTCCCTCTGAACCCTATTAGGGCTTTCTGCCATCTGCTAGTCTGTGACAGATGCTTGTATAACTGACAGATCAAGCTAAATATAAGATATCAACACCCCCGTATGCTCTAAACATTCCAAGTTTAGTATTCCTATTGTACGTGAGGCCTAAATATAGCAAGATAAAACAAAAACATCTTTTATGTTGAAGTATTCTTAAGATTGATGACACCTCAGCATAAGGCCTCCAAAGCCGAGCAGGGAAGGGTGGGGACAACATCTCCTGAGGGTGTTACTGGGAGATGGAAAGCCTAATTTCCAACGCTGTAGCAAACACTTCCCCCAAAATGAGAATACTCTGTCCTGACCAGCAGCATGGTTGAACTTAGCTATGTTTACCACCATGGCTACAAAGCCAGTGTGCCATGGAAGCTCCGTGTTGGAGAACAGCACTGCAGACAAGACCAGCTCAGCCTGGGAGGGGACTGTCATATTTTCTAGGCCTGTAGGCCAGAAGCAGATGTTCCTCCTCTTGCTCAGCAGAGCAAACCTGGCCTCTTTTCCAGGGCTCCAGGGACCCACATGGGTAGAAAAACTATCCTATTGTCCTCCCCCAAGGCCACAAGGCTCCTGTGTCCTCAGGGACAGTGAAATCAAAGAACAGAGACCCTCTGCAGGCTGAAGAACACCCAGCAGACACAGAAACTACTGTCTCTGCAGAGCTTATCACCTTGAAGTACCTCACAGTGCTTCATGTACTGCAAGTAGCTGCCATTTCACCCGCTCCAGAAACCCAGGCACCCCTCGGGTAAGCTGACAGCTGCTTAGGTAAGCCAGCAGGGGAAAAAGTACTTTAAATATGGAAGTGGAATATACCACTGAAAAAATGGTATCAGGGAGGAGGGAGGGGCGCATTTAAATAAGGGGGCATAGATGCCCAGAGTGGACTTAGACAGCTACTCTGACTTGAAGGCTTTGGCTTCTTGTGATTAGCAGTCCTCTTTTATTTTGACCCAAAACTACACTGATGACACAAATCTTACACTGTTTTCTGGTACCACTGCAATGCACAGGTGCAGTCACAGTGCATCTGACGAACCAGAGCCAGAAATGCCGTGACCTCTTCCTTCCAAGTCTTCCTCAGGAATCTCCTGCTCAGGCACCGTTTATGTAACAATATGAATTGTTTTGTGAATTGAAGTGCAACCCAAGCTTCTCACACTGTTTGGGCAGTCCTACTTACTGCAAACAAAACCAAGTTGCCTCTTCTGACTGTGCATTTCAGTTCCACTGAAGACAATGACTAAGATTTGGGTGACTTCAGAGAGTCTTAGAGTACAGCCCAAAGGACTGACCACCCATCTCCAACCACAGAGAGCTGGCTAAAAAGTAGGATGCTAAGCACCATTAACCAGAAAATCCTCCCTTGCCTACCAGCTTCTTAAACATAAAGCACAATCACATTGAATGAAGCAATGAGGACACTGTGCCTCTGAACTAAAGAGTTACATCTCATTTTATTACAGGTCTCCCCTTCTGCATCTTGATAGAAGTTAACAAGCATGAAAATATCCACATGAAAATACCCCATTTCTCTGAGCACTCCTGTGCTTAAAACAGACAAAGTTACCTACAGCATACATTAAAATTCTACTCAGGAGAGCCAGTCAGTAAACCAGGACAGCAAAAGACAAGCCTAGGTACAAGCATACCTTCAACACAAGTCAGACTGAGCTTAAGTACCCCCTGCCAGAGCTTCAGGTGAGCTGTCAGTGCATATCTGGTGTGTTGTGGAAGCCTCAAGTGATCAGATTAATTAAGTCCTACTAGCGCCCTCAGGATTATGACACCAAGCACAGCAGGTAGCAACAAATTGTAAACAAAGACACAGAAAATGGGTAGGCAAAATTCCTGCACCATGTTCAACACATCAAAACATTCCGAGGGCTGACAGACAAAGAATGCAAAGCCTAGGCTGAAGTAGTTTGTACAACCCAAGCCTCTCTGCACCAGAAGAACATGATGTACAGCACTGAAGTCCTCAGTGTTCACCTGCCCCTCCAACCCTGACAGATCCCACAGTGTAATCTTTTCCCCTGCAAATCATCCGCAGAGCTTGCTTTGTTCCTGGCATGCAGAGGATAGGCAAGGTGATTTCTGAGCTGCAAGACGCAGCTCCACGCCTCAGAAGAACTTGTAATGTCTTGCTCTCTCCCATGCCTTTTCACTCATGTAGCACCTATTCCCAACACAAAAATGTTACCTGGAACTGAATGAGTTTTGCCTGGGTTAATTGTCTTCACAGTAGCTGCTATGGTGCTATGTTTTGAATTTGTGCTGGGAACAGAATTGATGACACAGGGAGGTTTTAGTTTTTGCTGAGCAGGCCTTGCACAGAGCCAAGGCCTCTTCTGCCTCCCACACACCCCACCAGTGAGGGGCTGGCGGTGCACAGGGAGTTGGGAGGGGACACAGCTGGGACAGATGACCCCAGCTGATCACAGGGATATCTCATACCATATCACACTGGCTGTCCTGTGCAGGGCCAGGAGCCAAACTTCGATGATCCCGGTGGATCCCTTCCAACTCACGATATTCTATGATTCCATGATTCTATGATCTCACCGTGCTCAGCAATAAAAGCCTGGAGGAGGAGGAGGAGGAAGTGGGGATGTTTGGAGTGAATATGTTTGTTTTCCAAGTCCCTGTAATGCCTGACGGAGCCGTGCTCTCCCGGAGGTGGCTGAACACTTGCATGCCCATGGGAAGCAGTGAATGAATCCCTTGCTTTGCTTGCAGCCCACGAGTTTTCTCACTTTTACCCTCCAATTCTCTCCCCCACCCACTGTGGGGGAGTGAGTGGCCCTGTGGCTACTGAGGCTAAACCACGACAAGAGGTCACCTAGACCAACCTTCTGCTTAGAGGAACTTCATTATCAACGCTAGATCAGGTACCTGCAGCTTCATCTAGCCTAATCTTGGGAATTTCAAAGGCTAGAATTTCCAATACCTCTCCAGATGACTCATTCCAGTGCTAGACTACCCACACAGTGACTTCTTTTTTTTTTTTTTCCCTAATCTGAACCTCCGTAATCTCACTGGGGATTTTTCTCCATCTCAATGTTATTTCTCTTTCGGGCAGCTCCCATCCTTATCCATCAAACTCCCACACCAACACATACCACCTTGCCCCTGCATTTTCAGAGGTTTATATGGGACATACAGCTGGAAAGCTCCTGTTAAATATGACCTAATTTGATTCCAAGTTTAGCACTACCAAGACATTTTCAGGGATGGGAATTTCACGGATTTGTGACTGTGCAGCCGTGTGATTTTATGAAATAGCATCCAAGTGCAGCATTTTCAGCGAGGCACTGCAGAACAGGATGTTTACAGGGGATGACTATTTTCCAGTGTTTCCAGGGTCCCCAAATCTATCAAGGACCATTTGGCTGCCTCACACCAACACAAATTTGTGATTCTATTTCAGGCCTGCCTGCATCACAGAAGGCCCATGGAGCTGTCAGACACCTACAGCATTATTTTGAAAGCATCACAGAGAGATTGTGCAAAAAGGTTAGGAGATCTGAGCATCAAGTGCAATACCAGCCCTTCCAAATATGAAAGAAGCAAGCTGGGCAAGTCCTGACTCTGTGTTCTCAATGGAAGACAATAATCAAAGGAAACCTGCAAAGTGTGAGGATATAACTGCCCTTGGTCACACTGTGCAGCTCCCTTTGAATACAGAAGGACCACAAGAGAATCTGCCTCTGAGATAATGCAGTGGTACTTATAGCACTGTTTTAATTCAGAGGAAAAAAAGCCCCAAACCTCGAAATCCATGTTAGAAAGATTTAATTATATATTCTGACATGAAGAACAAAATGAATGGGCATAAGGAGGCAGGAGATGCAGTGTAGGCGATTCTCAGCAAAGCACTTAACAGAAGCAAAAAATTATGCTTGAAATATAATTTGGACATAATAAGTGGATTGAAATCCAAACATAATTGCAAAAATGAACAGTAGCAATGGGCCACATGGTATCAGAGAGCACTAACACCACCTTGGAGGTGATAAGAGCTTCTTAATTCCATCAGTATAAATACCTGGATTTCAAAGGATTCTTCACTGAGTACATCAAGGCTAAAGGAGACCCATGGATTTCAAAACAATTTGGCATATTTAGGCAATGAAAAACTGGGTAAATTCTGTTGCCTGATATGGTCAAGCTGCCTGTATCCTTTGCAGGGTTTGTCTACACAGGGAAACGGGAGTGGGCAAAGAGATCCACTTAACCAGGGAGCTATGAAAGCAGTTTTACAGCCACATCAGAAATGAAGTGCCCAGAAGTCAATGAACTAATTTAAGACACAGCTTCTCTGCAGACATACGTCCATGTCTACATAGTGCCTTAAATAGCACACAGTATGGATTCTCCAGCTGGGGCAATGTAGACATGCTGCACAGATACCTCAAATTATTGCATTGATTTCTGGGATCATCTCCACTGAAAGCAGAGAAGGAACCTGGAACAATTCCATTCAAGTGTGACAAAAACAGCTCGAGGGTTCTATTTATGAAGAAGTTATTCCTGCCCTAATTTTACTCCCCCTTTTGCTTTCAGAGATCTGCCCAGTATCTCTCAGACAAAATGTTACGTCAAGTCCTGGTAAAAAAGCTGAGGGAAGTGACAGACATCTGCCATGCACCTTGAAGAACCAAAGAGCAGAGTGGGGAATTAACTGTCACTACAGGGAAAAGTCACAGTAAAAAGACACTGGGGAAAACGCAGGATGCCACACTTTCCAATGATTAAACACTTTCTGAAGATGTTTGAATGGCAAGAGAGATTGCTGGGGATTTTTGCATCTCATATAAAACCAGGACAACTGGGAACTGCAAGGTTCCATGCTCGAAGGACTGGATATGTATCTTTTAGATGCATTAATCAAGAGTTACTTTTAAATGAATGGGTAAGCGGGAGTTCCTGGAGCGCTGAATTTCTTTAGGCCTAATCACTAAGCTGATGGGATTTCCATCACAAGAAACTTATGGCTTCAAGCCACGTAAACCCTGAAAAAGATCAAAATATTAATCATTTAACTCTGACCAAAAATTATCCATCAAAGCGTTTTTCGGCCAAAAGATGGAACAGAAGTTGAGTTAGCTTGTCCATAAAATGTTGATGTTCAGAGATTCTCTAAAGCCTTTGGGATTTTTGACCCTCCAGTAAGTTCTATTCTCTCTACATGACAAGATCTGCTCCCTCCCCCATAGCAAGCAGAGCAAGATGTAGCTGAACTGGAACTGTGGGAGGTGGCACCCTCTGGAGAAGCTGTGCCTGTGTTTCAGCAGATCTACCCTATCCCCTTCATAATTACTTCAATAAATCAGGGAGCTCACTATAATGAAGTCTGTTAAACGTGTGAACATTTTTTTCAGCTCCCTTTCACCCTCAAGAAAAAAAAAAGTATTTTTGACTAGAAGTCAAAATAGTTTTTTGTTTGGGGATTTCTTTTTTTCTTTTTGGGCAGCCAAAGGTTTTCTTCTGCCAAGAAGAGAACTCTTGGGTATGTTGCTGAAAATTTCTGGAGAAAAGAGAAAGCCTCTGCTTCAAATCATGTTTTTGCTTGTTTCAAAAGATCTTTCCAGCTAGTTTTCTCTAGCTGAGATTTTTATATTGTTGAAAGTAAGTAAACTGAGGAAAGTGAAAGCTCCTCACTCTTCTACTTCAGCAGCTGGTTTGTGAAAACATCCATATTTCCAGAGTATTGATGGAATATCCTTTAGGCTAAAGTTTCATATCTCTTCTATCTGATAAGCAGGGAAGTTCTGTGATACACCTGCTTTATGTGACTCCTGACCCCTTCTCTTACTCCTACATTCACACCAAAACTTCTGCACCTGGACAAAAACACACACCCCTCCTTCTGGTCCTCTGGAAATTAGATTTCAGGTCAAAAAATTCCCTAAACCAAAAGAATCTAAGCATCCTTTTTTCCCCCTGATTCTGTAGACACTGCCGGTCCCAGATTAGGATGAAACTCCCAGCCTATAATTTTGTCCATATTCTCTTTCATAGACAATGATTGACGAAAATGAAGATATGAGTGATTTATGCCTGGATTTTAACGGTGGCAGCATCTGTTTCACACTGCCATCAACTCACAGCGATGTTTCCACTATCTCCTCAGGCTATGATGAATATAATTTTCCAGTGTTTGCCTGAATCCCACACAGCAGTAATCAGCAATTATCAAAAGCAGCAAACACAAATAATTAAGATATTTCCATGACATCCAAGCACAGTCTCCTCTGGGATGTGTGCCTCACACTGCAGTGGGTAGAAATGTTGTCTGTACCACCCATGAGGGAAAGAGCACCTTTATCTCCATGTCTGGAACCCAACTCAAGCAACTTGGACAAAACAGTGTAGGTGAGGCATCCAAGTGATTTTACATTTTCAAAGGAAACCAGGGGCTTAAAAGTGACAACCTCTGTTCCATAATCAGCCTTGCAAAAATGGAGCAGCACAAGCAGTGAATGCAACATTATCAATAACCTTTAGAACCTCATGTCATTGACATTTACTTTAGTACTTGACACAATTACATATACTGTGGCAGATCAGCTGATTAGTCAGTGTCCTTCATCCCTTCACTACCAATTTCTCCCAAATACAGTCCAATACCAAGAGATTTCAGTCTTCATTGTACTGACATGTTGTTTATTAGTCACATGCTCCTGTTGTCTGCTCTAGTTTGGGCTCCTTGGTCATTCCTGTAATGCACTGCAGCCAGAAATTCCTATAAAACTTTGACACAGAGGGTTTATTTTTGTTAATGTGTAATATTTCCCACTGCTACAATTAGAAGGATACTAAATAAGGATGCTTATATATTCGAGTGTACTTATCTCAAACTTTAATGAATAATCAGTGTATACTGAATGGGTGGGAATGCTTACTGACAAACCTACACACCCATCGTCTCCTTTCTTCTCTCTCCAGCTTATTTTTGCTGCTGGAATAAGCAGACCAGTTTACACCTGCTGTAAACTGGCATAGCTTGGTGTAAATCAATGGACCTACAGGAGTTCCCATTACCCAAGACCTTTTACTTTCTCTGTAAATCTAGCAGGTATGATTTGACCACTGGTCTACCAGAAGTCCATTCCTGAGAACCTCTCTTCCCAGAATTTGCATCTTTGCTCTTCTCTTATCAACATCTCTGCTTTAATCTTTATGTGTGTAAATCTGCACAGAATCAACTCAGTTCAAGGGAATTGAATCAGCATCAGATCAAACAGGTCTTGCCCATGTTAATAATTCCTTAAGGGTCTAGAAACACAGAAAATTTTGCCTCCAGATTTTGCATTTGTTTCTTGCCTTGAACAAGGCCTTGATCCTATATCAAAAGAAAGATATCAAAAAATGTGTGTATGTTTATATATATATATAGATATATATATATAAAAATATATATATATATATATATGTTTATGTATATCTATATATCAAGGGTATTTCTCATAGCTATAATTACCTGTTT